GGAGACTCACTTGAGCCCAGGAGTTGGAGGTTGCTGTGAGCTGTGATGCCACAGCACTCTACCCAAGGGGACAGCTTGAGGCTCTGTCTCAGAAAAAATAAACAAATAAAAAGATATTCCCATTCCTTGACCTGGCCACACAACAACCACAAAACACAAAGAAAAGCGAAAAAGAGGACTCTCAGAAACCAACAATGGGTTGAATTTTGTGGTAAGGAGAACCCAGGATGCCCACCCAGGAGAGATGTAGAAGCCTAGGTGGTCTCACCTTGGGGATGACATACCCTCGGAAGTGGGTGTCTTTGGTGACTATGTGGGGCAAACCAATGGGGATGAGATCTGCAAATCTCTGAATCTCATGGATGACAGCATCTGTGTATGGCATTTTGGCTCGGTCATCGAGGGCTGGAGGGCGATGTGTGCCAATCACCTGTACAATCTCCTTGTAGACTTTCTCTGCAAAGAAAAGGGGACCAGTGAACTCCATTTCAAAGAGACATCTCACTGCTTTCTATGATATAGGAAAAACCTATGCTAAAGGGTTAAATCATTGATACACCTCAGAGCAGTCATCCTGGGGTGAGGGGAGGAGGGAGGAAGCAAAAAGAATTCTTACCCTTCCAAATTGAATGAGGGTTATAGATTCTATGCCCTCATACACAGGTACACACACGCATGCACACAATTTTAAGCGGAATTTCTGATCAATAACTCCAGGCTCAGAACCTGTCAAAACTCTCTGAGTCGAAAACAGATTAATATTTATTATATGTGTATTACAGGTGAGGCACTGTGCTAGGTTCTCATGCAATATGAGTGGAATCAATAGATTAATCCATGAACAACTGGATAAATAAATAGATACATAAATCAAGCATTGGTGGATAGATTAATTCAAGAATGGAAAGATTGATGAATAAATGAACAAACCAGTAAGTAGATATATATATTTACTTATAAATTAACAGGTGGATCAATTAATGAATCACTAATTAATAAATGGTTCATAGACAAATAAATCAATGAACCTAATTCATCTATAATCATATAAATGGCTAGATTTATAGGAGATAAGTGATTGAAAAAAATAGATTAGTGAAGTGTGAGTAAATAAAGAAATAAATGGAGATAGATTGAGTGATAAATAAAGAATGAATGAATAAGTGGACTATTTAGTAGATAAATTAAGGAAGGAATGGCTGGATATAAAATGAATTGAAAGACTAATTTTGTTTTGGTTTTTTTTTGGCTTTTTTTTGAGACAGAGCCTCAAGCTGTCCCCCTGGGTAGAGTGCCGTGGCATCACAACTCACAGCAACCTCCAACTCCTGGGCTCAAGCGAGTCTCCTGCCTCTGCCTCCCAAGTGGCTGGGACTACAGGCGCCCACCACAACGCCTGGCTATTTTTGGTTGCAGCCATCATTGTTGTTTGGTGGGCCCGGGCTGGCCACCTTAGGTGTATGTGGCTGGCGCCTTAGCCACTTGAGCCACAGGCACCGACCTTGAAAGTCTAATTAATGAAAGAATGAAGGAATGAAACCTGTTAGCAGAAGGATAGGTAGATTCATGCATGAATGGATGAGCCAGTGAATTAATGACAAATAGAACACTCAACTTATCACTGTTCCAAAGAATCAACTCTTAGGTTAATTCGCCCAAATAAATGAATGAAAGTATATGTCCTTGGATAAATCATAGATGAAGGAATCAGTGAATTAATGAATAAAAGGATGGACAGATGAAAGAGTGGGTGGATAAATGGATCAATCTTAAAGGGATGGCACAGAAAGTCAAATATCTCATGTTCTCACCCACCCCTGGGTGCTAAAAAATGTGTCCACGTGGATGTAGAGAGTGGAATGATCAACAGTGGAGACTCGGAAGGTGAGGGGGTGGGGAGGGGTAGATGATGAGAAATTCCTTAGTGAGTATAATGTATGTTACTCGGGCAATGGATACCTCGATGACCACTGTGCATTGCATATCTACATTGCATATATATTTGTACAAATAAAAAAAACCTGAAACACGTCCCCAGAGTCTTTAAGTGATGGAAGAGAATAGTTCAACAGATTCTTGTTCACACATCCACCAAAATAACTCTGGGTGGAACTGGAGACCGCTCTCCTACGTGAAGTATCTCAATAATGAAAAAGTGCCACACGTACTTACTGTTACCTATGAGCACACACGTGCCCAGAGGGAAGTAAGACTCAGTGGAAACCACCTGGGGGGAGGGGAAGGAAGAAAGGGGGCAAAAACCTACCTAATGGATACAAGGAACACTATTTGGGTGACAGACACTCCTATAGCTGGGACTCAAGCATTACAAAGGCAATCCATGTGACCTTAAACATTTACAGCCCCTTCATATTTTGAAATAAAAATTTAAAAAGGAGCTGGGTTAGTTGGAGGCTAGTCCAAAGCCAGCAGAGCTCTGGAATAAGGAGCCCTAGCCCTGCTTCTGTAGCTCAGAAGGGAGTGGAACTCCCTTATTGGATGTCCCTGGCCCACCTGTGACATGAGGGTATTTGAGCATGAGCAGGAAGCCGTAGCGGAGAGTGGTGCTGGTGGTCTCGGTGCCAGCGAAGAAGAGCGAGAGTGTGTTGAGGATGAGGTTCTTGTGGTTGAACTCACTGTTGGGGTTGGATTTCTCCTGGGTGCAGAGCAGAGAGGAGGGGAGCGTCAGGCTGCAGCCGCACTGCTCACACACACCAGTCTTGGGTGGCCTCCATCTGTTTCAGGGTCTCTCACTCTGACCAGCCCATTTGGTTTTCTCTGCGCTCTGCATGTCCAACCATGCGTCTCTCTCAGCCTCTCTTTGTCTGGCTCTGTTTCTCTCTCTCCACCTCTGATGTGTTTCACTCCTTTGCCTCCCAATCTCTTACTGCCTCTGCAGATCATTTCTCCTGTTCCTGTATTTTTGTCCCTTGCCCTGAATTCCTTCCTTGGCCTACGCTCTCCCTCTCTCTCTCCTCTCTTCTCTACTTTCTCTTTCCTTTCACCTCACCTTTCTTCCCCTTCTGCATCTCCTCTGCTCTTTCTCCTTTTCTCCCTCTGTCCTCTCTGCATCCCTCCTCCTCCCCCTTCCCTTTACTATTCTTATCCTTTCTTCTCTCTTCTCCATCTTCCCTCCCTCCTCTCCTCATCTCTATCCCTCTCCCAGACCCCACTTTTTCCATTCGGAGCAGGTAAACATCTATGAGGTCCCGGGGGGAACTGGGGTCCAGGGTTTCCCGGTGCTTCTCCACACTGCGGCCGATGAAAGCATTGATTTCCTGCAGGTTTTTGTAGATCTGCCTGTGTATACCAGGAAAGTACTTCAAGAAGCTGGAGAAGAGCTCAAACACCTATGAAAAAGAAGAGGTGGTGAGGTCAGCCTAGGGCAGGTGACATGAAGTGGGTAACCTTCCCAGGCCCAATACTTTCATGGGAGTCCTTCTCTTTCTCTCTCTCCCTCCCTCACTAACTCCCTATCTCCTTTGATCTGTTATTCTCATACGTAATTCTTTCTGCATCTTCCTCCCTCACCTTTGAGTCTTTTTCTTGGTCTCTGCCACACCTCCTTGTCTGTTCCTTTCCCCCTCTTTGTCTCTGTGCCTCACTTATCATCTCTCTGTACCTCTCATTGTCTACCTCAGCCAGTTTACTTGTTTTCCCATCTGTTCTCTGTTTCCAGATGTTCTCTGTTTCCGCTCCTCCCCATCTCCCTTGCTAAAGATGCCATTGGATAAAACAAAGTGTACAGAACATGAGCCTGTCAACAGCTTGGGACTATTTACGTATTTCATAGCTTTATCTGATGATAAATGGAACATCGAACTTCTTGCAAACAATTACACAAAATGCAAAAATGTATATATTAAATAATATGATGGAAAGTTCCTTCTTAATCCCTTCTTCTGGAGATGGCCACTGTTAACTGTTCGGTGGATCTCCATCCAGGCTTTCCTCTCCCCGTGGTTCTCCGACATTGGAATCCTCTGTGGGGCTTGTCCCAAGTATGTCCCCAGGGACCCATCCCAGACTTTCCAGATCAAGCCCTCCAGTAGGATGTGCTGGGAATTCAGATCTGTGATGGTCCCATGTGGGAATCTGACACACACCGCTGGTCGAGCATGACAACTGTACTTATTGCCCTGCAGTTGAATAATCTTAATGTGCAGTCGGCATATTTCCAGTTTAGTCCACTATGGAAACTTTATTATTTGTTCTAAAGCAGCAGCATATTACTTTATAATGTGGGGAAAGATTTTTTAAAATACATAAACAGGGAAAGGAAGAAATGCAAAAAATGGAAGAACTGTGGTTTCCTATTGTCATATACCCTTGAATTTCCCCGGGTGGGCAGAAGCAAAGACACAGAGGAATCAGGGCCTGAAAGTCTGACTCATTCATTCTCTCTCTCAATCCCTCTCTCTCTTTCATACATTAGTATCAATTTTGTTTCCCAGGATCCCTTTATCTCTCTCCGCCTCCTAAATCTTTCTCAGAGTCTCTATTTCTGCCTCCCATCATGCCCCATCCTTTCCCTCAGTCTCTCTGTCCCTGTCCCCAGGTGTCTGTGTCTCTGTCTCCCCATATTGTCCCTGTCTTTATTCCAGCCATAAGATAAGCTGCATTTCTGGGCCCCCAAACACATCATCCCTTTCCCCTTCCCTGGATGTCACCTCATCCCTCCTCCCGCCCACACCTCCATCTCTCTGACCTGGCTGGATAAAGAGCTAATGAGTGAGAAGGACTGATAGAATAGGTCCAGCATCCTCAGGAACTCTGGATCTTTGTAGTCGAAGCGTTTCCCAAAGACAATGGAGCAGATGATGTTGGCAGTGATAGCCTGAAAGGAGAAGGTGGGGTCCAGGAGGGCTCCTAGGAGGAAGAGGCCACAGGTCAAGGAATGTGGACTAAGAAGCCTGGGGAACCTGTGGCTGTCCCCACCCTGGCTCTCTGACTGTTCACCATGGCTGAGTCATGATATATGAGAATATACATGGCATGCTTCGTGTGCCAGGCCCTATTCTGAGCACTTCACACAGCATTTTATCTGCTCTCGCCATGACATTATGAGATGGGTACAATTCTCTTATTGTTCCCATGGTAGAGATGGGAAGACAGAGACCTTAAGTAATTTGACCACAAAACACAGTACTCATAGGGCCCGAGATTCAGATCAAGGCAGCCCAGCTGCAGTCTGTGTGGCGGTTGGTCCTCACCCTGCATCTGTGAGTGAAGAGGGTTTAGTCCCAGGCGCAGGGCTGGGGCAGGATAGTTGTTCGATCAATTGTTTGTGCAAATTAAAAAGCCCTGATCTCTCTGTAACTATTGTGACTGCCCCTTTGTCTCTTCTGTCCATACCTAGGGCTCTCCAGGTATCTGGGACTTGCGCTGCACTTGTTAGCTGATGCCTGTGTACAGAGGCTCAGCCTTGTCCTGGACTGGAACGGTGCTGGGCTATATGTGTCCAACAACATCAGATTGGCGTGGCCTCTCTCTCTGGATTTCACCTCTTTTTCCTCTGCATATGTTCTCCTGAGCCTCATCTGTCTGTCTTTAATTTTCCCTCCCTCCGTTCCTACTTCTCTGAGTCTATGTGTCTGTGCACATCTCTGAGTGTCTTTCTCTTTGTTGGGGTCCTCCTATCACCATCTCTTCCTTCTTTTCTGATTCTCTGACTGTGTCTGTCTCATCCTGTCTTTCTTTTCAGTCTCTCTGTCCCTGCTCTGCCTATGTCTCTAATTTTCCTCCCATCTTCAACATTCATATCTAAGACTCGCTTAAGAAATTTGGTGGCCAGGCGCAGTGGATCGCGCCTGTAATCCTAGCACTCTGGGAGGCTGAGGCAGGGGGATCGCCTGAGCTCAGGAGTTTGAGACCAGCCTGAGCAAGAGCAAGATCTCATCTCTACTAAAAATAGAAAAACTAGCCAGGCATCATGGCAGGCACCTGTAGTCCCAGCTACTCGGGAGGCTGAACCAAGAGGATTGTTTGAGCCGAAGGGTTTGAAGTTGCCATGAGCTATGAAGCCATGGCACTCTACTCAGGGCAATAGAATAAGATTCTACCTCAATAAAAAGAAAAAAGAGAGAAAAATTTTATTAAGAGAAATTGTAAAAAAAAAAAAAATGGTATAAATAAGATGGAGAAGGACCATGTCACTTATATGTCCCATAAACACATGGTTATGGAGAATTTAAAAATAGAGTCCAGGTGTGATGGCTCACACCTCTAGGCCCAGCAATTTGGATCACTAAGGCAGAACCTCTTATACCAGAAGGTGTAGACCAGCCTGGACAACATAGTGAGACTCTAAAAATTTTTACTAAAAATTTAAAAAATTAGCCAGGCATGGAGGCCCATGCCAATAGTCCCTGCTGCTTGAGAGGCTGAGGTCGGAGGATCACTTGAGCCCCGGAGACGACGGTTACAGTGGGCTATAATCATGCCACTTCATTCCAGCCTGGGCAACCAAGGCTCAAAAATAAAAATTAAAATGTTAAAAATAACCAGAGGTGCTTCTTTGATGGTCCCTCAGACGGCCTGAGTGCAGAACACCCACCTGGCCTCTTCACTCACTGGCAGCTCATCACACTTCATCCAAGGAAAAGAAAACAGTTTGCAATTTTCAAATTACCTGTAGTTTTCCCTTTTCTTGTTTTCCTTTCTTTTCTATAAATTCTGGTTTTGCTTTTGACAGACAGACTTGATCCATGAACTGGTTTCCCTGAGCCCAGTAGATAGTGTGCTACCCACCGGGTATGTTTCTTTGCCCTCTTCTTGGACACTCCACACCCGACATCTCCCTCTTTCTCAGACTCCCTGCATATCTCTCCCTTCATCTCTGCCTCCCTGTAGTTCCCAGGCTCTCTCTGGTCCCTGTCCCGCTAGCTGGTGGTCTCTCAGGCTCTGTCTGTCTCTGTCTCTCTGTCTCTGCCCACACATACCTCTCCTTTTTTTTTTTTTTGCGGTTTTTGTCCAGGGGCTGGGTTTGAACCCGCCATCTTTGGCATACTGGCCGGTGCCCTACTCCTTTGAGCCACAGGCGCCACCTCAACATACCTTTCCTTCTTTCTCTTGCTAGTCACTTGCATCTCTATCTGTTTCACTTTTTTTTTCTTTTTTTTTTTGAGACAGAGTCTCACTTTGTCACCCTGGGTAGAGTGCCATGGCATCATCATACCTCACAGCAACCTCAAACTCCTGGGTTTGAGCAATCCTCCTGCCTCAGCCTCTGAAGTGCCTGAGATTACAGGCACTCACCACAACGCCCAGCTTGTTTTTCTATTTTTTGTAGAGACGAGGCCTCATTCTTGCTCAGGCTAGTCTGGAACTCCAGACTGGCTCAAGTGATCCACCCATCTCAGCCTCCCAGAGAGCTAGTCGGTTTCACTGTCTTTCCCGTCACTACCGGGACTCACCCTGGGATTTCCGCAGCTCCTCCACCAGACACTGAGCCTCCTCCTGAATCCGCTCCTCCACGCTTCGCTTTCCCATCCCGAAGTCCCTCATGGTGGCCAAAGAGAATCGCCGGAGAGCCTTCCATCGGTCCCCATTGGCAAAGACTACGCCTGGAGTGTGGGAGGGATGGGTTGCAGAGGCCCTAGGAGGGAGGTTCTGGGTCCTTCTCCACCTGTTTCCCACCTTTCCCTGATGCATCCCCCACCTGGCCCTCCCAGTGCCTTGGAGGCTCTCACCATGTCCCTCGAAGATTGGCTCCACGATGGCGATTTTGCCCCGGCCGGAGAAGTACTCGGCTTGGTCCACCAGGGCCTCCCGTATGGCCTCTGTCCCACACAGCATGACTACCGGCCTTGGCCCCAGATATACGGTGAAGACATCCCCGTATTTTTCCTGGAGCTGCCAAGTATACCCACAGCCCAGGTTATATTAGTCAGCACACACCTTAGTCGTCAAACTATTAAAACACTCACCTAGGGCGGTGCTGTGGCTCAGTGAGTAGCGCGCCAGTCCCATATACCGAGGGTGGTGGGCTCAAATCTAGCCCCGGCCAAACTGCAGCAAAAACTAGCCAACCACTGCGGCAGTCACCTGTAGCCCCAGCTACTCGGGAGGCTGAGACAAGAGAATCACCTAAGCCTAGGAGCTGGAGGTTGCTGTGAGCTGTGATTCCACAGCACTCTACCCAGGGTGACAAAGTGAGACTCTGTCTCTTAAAAAAAACACTCACATAGCAGACTGGTAATTAGAATTTTCCCCAAGACCTTCCCCCACCAGCTGCTCTTAAATTTTCCCAGGATCCAGCAACTAAAGGGTTAGCGCATGACCTAGCCCAGGTCTGCTCGGATTGGTTGGTTCCCTAAACAGTGTAGGTGGTTAAATATGTCTAATGCCACCCCCATTCATATCCTTGAGTCTGGCCAGATTTCCCCCGGATCTCAATGAGAGAATCATCCTTCTTATGATCACCAGTTCTACTTTTCCTGCTAACCCAGTCTGAAAATATTAAATGGAAAGCTCCAGAAAGAAATAACTCATAAATTGTGTGCCATTTTTAGTAGTGTAATATCTCATGCTTTCCTACTCTATCGCAGCTAGAATGTGAGTCATCCTTCTGTCTAGTGTGTGCAAAGTGCTTGTCAACATAGAGCTAGAATAAACATTGAGGGATTTTTGCAAGGTAAAACTCTACAGCAACAAAACAGAGCAAAGCACCACAGGAACATGGCCAGCACCCACGGACATAATGCTGACTTGAAGCACAACAGAGTCGATTTGTCATAATTCTATTCCTATGACATTCAAGCACAGATAAAACCAATCTGTGGTGTCATAGTAGCAGGAAAGTAGTGATGGGAAGAGGGTGTGAGGAATGTGTGCAGTTTGTGAAAATGTATTGAGCCGTGTACATTTTTAGAGTGATGTTCAACTTTGATAAAACATTGACACAAAAATCATAAAAATGGTTGCGTGTACTTAAAAATGTCTTGCACTGATCTCTGCAAAGCCCCTTCACTGCTGTTTCTGCTTCCATTCTTATAGTCCCTACAATCCTTTCACTACCCTCCAAGACAAAGTAATTCTATGAAAATGTAAATTAGTTAATATCCCCAACCCTCGACAAGGCCTCCAGTGCTCTCCCTCTTTGCTGAGAATAAGATGTAAAGTCCCCAATGTGGTCTAAGTGGCCCTACATGACATGATCCTGTTACCCCCCTGACTTCTCCTCTGTCTCACCCTTTAGCTCCCCTGATCCAGCCTCTACATCATTCCCTGAGCTTTTCCTGCTTTAGCATTCTGTCAGCAAAATTATTTGGCAGATTGGCTCGGCACCAGCCATATACACCTAAGGTGGCGGGTTCAAATCCAGCCCAGGTCTGTAAAACAACAATGATGGCTGCAACCAAAAAATAGCTGGGCATTGTGGTGGGCGCCTGTGGTCCCAGCTACTTGGGAGGCTGAGGCAGAAGAATCACCTGCGCTCAGGAGTTGAAGGTTGCTGTGAGCAATGAAGCCATGGCATTCTACCCAGGGGGACAGCTTGAGGCTCTGTCTCAAAAAAAAAAAATTATTTGGCAGATTGTTATACTAAGTCAGCCAACACTGAAATTGTTAAGATATATAATTTGACTAACTCCGAAAGAGTGATGCAAGGTAAATTACCTATGATGACCTTTTTAATAAACAATACTATGCATGTGAATTGGAGAAACAAAGTTGGTGTTTAATGGGATTTTTTTTGAGACAGAGCCTCACTATGTGACCCTCAGTAGAGTGCCATGGTGTCACAGCTCACAGCAACCTCCAACTCTTGGGCTTAAACAAGCAATTTTCTTGCTTCAGCCTCCCAAGTAGCTGGGACTATAGGCACCCACCACAACACTCAGCCATTTTTGTTGTTGTTGTTGTTGCAATTGTCCTTGTTGTTTAGCTAGCCTGGGGTGGGTTTGAACCCACTACCTTTGTACATGCTAGAGCTGTAACCACTGTGCTACAGGCACCAAGCCCATTTAATGGGATGTTAATCCAATGTTAAGCATATAGTCATGGAGAGCCTGGATGGCTGTGTGGTCCTTCCTGAGTCCTTAAAGCTTCCGTCATTAAAAGTTCTGCACTCTGGGCTCGGTGCCTGTGGCTCAAGTGGCTAAGGCGCCAGCCACATACACTCAAGGTGGCGGGTTCGAATCCAGCCCAGGCCCACCAAACAACAATGACTGCTGCAACCAAAAAATAGCCGGGTGTTGTGGTGGGCGCCTGTGGTCCCAGCTACCTGGGAGACTGAGGCAGGAGACCCACTTGAGCCCAGGAGTTAGAGGTTGCTGTGAGCTGAGATGCCATGGCACTCTACCCAGGGGGACAGCTTGAAGCTCCTGTCTCAAAAAAAAAAAAAAAAAGTTCTGCACTCCAGACAGTGCCTGAGGCTCCATGAGTAGGGCACCGGCCCCATATACCAAGGGTGGTGGGTTCAAACCTGGCCCCAGCCAAACTGCAATGACCAAAAAAATAGCTGGGCGCTGTGGCGGGTGCCTGTAGTCCCAGGCTACTCAGGAGGCCGAGGCAAGAGAATCACCTAAGCACAGGAGTGCCCACTCTACTGAAGGTGATATAATAAGTCTCTGTCTCTACCAAAAAAAAGTCTGCACTCCATGACTCAACATGATAGAGATAAAATGATCCAAACCGTAACAACATATTGTGACTGTCATAAGGTTCCTAAAATGGGTTATAGCAATGTTTGGTTTGGTTTGTCAAACTCATACTTCTGGTAAGACAACGAAAACTTCCGGCAAATGAAATGAATCATTTCAACACTTCCAGAGGGAGATCATTCAATGCCACATTCAGTACCTGCTTTCTGGTTGGATAGAAGGCTTCCTACGCAGGAAGGCCAATGCTATCATGTAGCTAAAAGGTTATTAGAAAAGGCATTTCCCCTCTGGAGCATTCCTGGAGAAATCTCCAGTGATAGAAGGGTTGGTTTCACTAGACAAGTTATAAATAAGGTATTGCAAACACAAAGTCATTAGGCACAGCTAATTGAGTTGATTGGTTTGCTTTGGTCAAAAGTGTTAGTGATTGATGGCAATTGGATCCACTCCCACTGGGAAAGCATGGATTGACTTCCTTATTAAATAATTACTGGAAGACCCATGCCCCTAATAATTAGAATTTTACATATCTCCCACTCTCATAAACTCTGTTGTGACTCAGTAGTGCAAAGTTTAACACATTATGACAAAGTATATTTTCTCCAGGTAAAAGAAGTCCTTCATGACTCACCAACTGATGACACCCCAGCCCAGAGCTCGAAAGGCACCCTCATTCTTTCTGTGGGGGGGGGGTGGGTAGCAGACCATATAACTCAAAGGACAGGAGAAGCAAGAGTTAAGCTTTGAACTCTCTGTAACTATGAGAAACACCTGTGATATAATAGCTCAGTGACACCTGGGTGATAAGGGTATGGGGAAAGGATTCATGTGAGCCGAGAACATCAGTGCTTGGTAGTCTCTGCACCTGTGGTTAAATAGCCACAGGATCACGGCTATAAACAGCTGCAGGAGAGGTTAGTCCAGATTCTCATTCTTATTCTTTCACAGACTCACTCACTCTGACTCTTTTGCTCCTCCTGCCTGCAGGGAGCCTGCCCTGTGCCCTTCATCGAAGACTGCTAAGATTCACTCTCCTATGAAGACTGTTTCTCTTCCTGGAAAACTGTCTCTCTCTCTCTCTCTCTCCCCCTTGTTAAGACAAATAGCCCTCTGGCACCTAAGGGGAGTTAATCTCAAGCAAGGTAGCACAGCAGTCTGTGTGGGACGACTAGATAGGCTGGGTCCTGACAGTGGGGGGATTCCCAAGGATGGAGGCAGGAACCAGCCCATCCTCAGACCCTGTCTGTCTGCATCTTACCTTCAGGAAGGACTTGAGAAGGCCCCCTCTGTCCATCTGCAGAAGGTTCCCCAAGAAGGGCAGAGGATAGGGTCCTGGTGGGAGGTGGCCATGGGCCTTTGGGCGGCCCTTGACCAAAAGTAGCAAGAGGCCCGTGAGGATTGCAAGGGAAAGGAGGACGCTGAGCTCCATGGTCTCAGCCTGACAGTCTTCCACCTCATTGCAGCGTCCAGCTGGGCCTTTTATCCTGACCCTGCCTCCCCACCCAGTTATGAAACTTCATCCAGTCCCCTCCTCCCTTCTCATCATTGTCCAGGAGTGTTAACCTAGAAGAAAGGTGCAACCAACCCACACTTCCTGCTTGGGTGCCACTGTGCCCTGTGCCCTATCCCTTTACCCACTCCCTAGATGCTGGCAGGGATATGGTGGTGCACATACCAAAGTCCACATGAATGTGCCACTGTGTGAGGGTGTGAGTGTGTGTTTATTTTTGTGGGTGTGGCTAGGCATGCACTTGGCTACTTGGTTTGCCTGTTTGTTTGTTTGTTCATGCTCGCATGTGGATGTTGGGGCCTGCTTGCATCTGTGTCTGTCCTTGTATGATTTTTAGAAGATGAAGGATGTTTGTATTTGGTGTGTTTCTGTATATGAGTCTGGGTGTGCTTATGTGCATAGTCTAACACTGTGGAGCCTTCTACGTATGCATGTAGTTTGACATGGGCAGCCGTGCTTGCCTGTGTATGGTGGATGTGGTGGTGCTGTATGTTCAAAAGTGAGAGGGGCCAGGCACAGTGGCTCATACCTGTAATCCTAGCCCTCTAGGAGGCTAAGACAGGTGGATTGCTTAAACTTGGGAGTTCAAGACCAGACTGAACAAAAGCAAGACCCTATTGC